TTTTTGTAGAGGTCACTTCACATCCTTTGTTAAGTTTACTCCTAGGTATTTTGATTTTTTTGAGGCTATTGTAAATGGATTGTTCGCATATATTCTTTCTCAGTTTGTTCGTTATTGGGTATAGAAATGCTAACTATTTCTAAGTTGATTTTGTATCCTGCCACCTTGCCTGTAGCTGTTGATGGTGTTAGGAGTTTTTGGGTATAGTTTTTTTGGTCTTTAAGGGTATAGGATCATATCCTCCTGCAAATAGGATATTTTTGGACAGTTTCTTTTACCTATTTTATTCCTTTTTATTTCTTCTTCTTGCCTAATTGCTTTGGCTAGGAATTCCAGTACTTATTTTGAATAGGAGTGGGGATTGGCACCTTGTCTTGTTCTGTTTTTCAGGGGAAATGGTTTCAGTTTTTCACCATTAAGTATGATGTTGGCTGTAGGTTTGTCATATATGCTTTATAAATGTTGAGATACTTTCCTTCTATTCCTATTTTCTTAGAGCTTTTTATCATGAAGTGGTGTTTGATCTTGTTGAAGGCTTTTTCTGCATCTATTGAGATGATCAAGTGGGTTTTTGTCTTTGTTCTATTAATGTGCTATATTACATTTATAGATTTTGTATATGTTTGAACACCCCTCTGCAATCTGGGATGAAGCCGATTGGTTGTGGTGAATGATCTTTCTGATACGTTGTTGTATTCATGTTTACCATTATTTTATTGAGGATTTTTGCATTGGTGATCATTAAGGAGATTGGCCTATAGTTCTCGTTTTTGGAGGTGTCTTTGTCTGGTTTTGGGATGAGTGTAATACTGGCTTCATAAAATGAGTTAGGCAGTTTTCCTTCCCTATCTATTTCATTGAACAGTTTGAGGAGGGTTTGTATTAGTTCTTCTTTAAAGGTCTGATAGAATTCAGCAGTGAAGCCATCAGGTTCTGGACTTTTCTTTTTGTGAGACTCTTTATTGCTGCTTCAATTTCATTTTGTGTTATAGAGCTATCTATTCAGGTGATAAATGTCCTCTTCATTCAGTTTTGGATGGTCATAAGTATCTAGAAATCTGTCCATTTCTTCAAGATTTTCAAATTTATTAGAATATAGGTTCTCAAAGTAGTCTCTGATGATTTCTGTGGTGTTTGTTGTTATTTCCCCTTTTGCATTTCTGATTTTACTGATTTTGGTTTTTTCTCTCCTCGGGGGTCTGTCAGTCTTACTTATTTTTTCATAGAACCAGCTTTTTGTTTCATTGATTCTTTGTAATTTTTTTTTGTTTCTGTTTTATTGATTTTGGCTCTTATTTTTATTATTTCTCTCCTTCTGGTTGTTTTGGGATTTGCTTGTTCTTGTTTTCCTAGGAGTTTGAGATGAAGCATTAAGACATTGATTTGAGATCTTTCTGTCCTTTTAATGTATGCACTCATGGCTATAAGCTTTCCTCTTAGGACTGCTTTTGCTGTGTCCCATAGGTTCTAGTAGGTCATGTTTTCATTTTCATTAACTTCCAAAGACCTATTAATTACCTCAGTGACCCAGTGATCATTGAGCAATGTGTTGTTCAGCTTCCAATGTTTGCATGTTTTTTACTGTTGTTTTTGTTGTTGAATTCTAGTTTTAATGCATTGTGATCAGATAGAAAGCATGGAATTATTTCTGTTTTCTTATATTTGCTGAGGCATGCTTGTGCCCTAAGATCTACATGTTCTTAATCTTTAGCAAACCTTCCATTCCTTCCAGCTCAGACACTGCTTTTTTTTTTTTTTTTTAAATCTACTACCCTTGGATATAAGTGCTTCCATGCCTTCAGGGGAACAGGGAAGGAAAGAGAATACTCATGGGCTGGCTAACTCTTCTGTACTGACTATCACTTTTGCTTCATCTTTATTCTTGTTTGGTCTGCATATAATCCTATTGCTTCTGCTGGTGCTGCTGCTTTCTTGTCTTATGAAAGAGAGAGTAGGCATATGAAGAAAGTTCTCTTTTCCCACAGTGTATTGTATACTGTGGTACAGGCCTTCTCCCACTTTCAGTGGCTGCCTTCATTTATGCTAAGCACAAACCTTCCTCTGTTTCTCCCAAGGGTTTCTCAGTTTGGTGGTAAGATTTCTGGGATCTATTAAGATTTCTTCTTGTCTCTGTAGCACTTCTAGGGTTTGATTGTTGGAACGAGCCAGCAGACTGTGTTGGCTGCCTACTTTGTCTCTTCTAGTCCTTTAAAAATGCTTTTGGGCATATCTATGTGTTTAATGTCTTAATTAGAATTAATTATATATTTTGGAGTGTAGTTTATTTTTATTTAGTATTAGGTCTTAGGGACTTCCATGTCAGGACAAACAGTAGTGATTCTTATTTAAAGTCATGGAAAAGAGGTAATTTCTACTTAATTAGCTTCATGTTTGTGACTATAATAAACTTGTTTTATAGTTTAGATAAATCACCTTCTAGACAATTTTTTGTTTTCATTGCTGTCTAATGAGTCTAAGTTTTATTTATAAATTTTTTTTGTGGTGCTGGGAATTGAACCCAGGGCCTTTCTGTATGCTGGCAAGTGCTTTACTACTGAGCGAGCGCCATCCCCAGAACCTAAAATTCTCAAGAACAGTGATTGAACATACTGCTTTTCTGTCTCTTAGATCTTAATAGTCCTTAAATCCTAATGTGTAGTTAGTAAACTTTAATAAACAGAAATATTTCTTTCTTTAGGATTTATCTACCTCTTTAGAAGCAGTGTATGGACAGGCCAAAGAAGGAGCTAACTCAGAAGAAATACTTAGAAAATTTTATGACTGGAAGTGTGATAAAGGAAAGGAGTTCACCAGTGTTAGGAATGAAACAGAGGCTTCCCTCCAGCATCTTGTAGCATGGTTCCAGAGCATCTTAAAGGTAAGGCAAACTCTTGCTCACTGGTGGCATACAATATGGAATGTTTATATATTTTAATTATATCCTTTTGTTGTTTGAGCTGACATTGCCTGCTGCTACTACCACTTGGTCAGTCAAGGTTCTTCATCAGTTTTTAGTCAGACTGCTTTTTTTTTTTGTCAAAAAACATAATCTTAGTTTTGGTCCTACTTTTCTCTTACTTTCCCTCTGGATTAACCTTTCACCTGTCTTAACCACTAATTTTCTTTCAGGTATGCTATGTGTATATGCCTTTTCTGGTACATAAATTTTATGTAGGTAAAATTATGGTAGGTACTTTTTTTTCTGTAATCTTAAGACCCCTTCATTGCTCAGGTAAAGGCTAATGCTCTGCTTCAGGTATAAGGGAACAATGAATGCTAATTAAATGAATTGATTGATACTCTTCATGTTTTTATTTTTGCCAATGAGGTTTTTGATCTGTCTTTGGAAAAATCACTGTCTTCTCAAGACACAATTGGTGATATTGATGAAATCTTGGAAAAGACTGAGTCACATGTCTGCAAAGAACTGGAGATTTCTTTGATTGTGAGTATTGTTTTTTTTTTGTTGTTGTTGTTATTGCTGCCTTTGAAGCAATGGTTTCTCTTGCTAACTGGAAGTAGACCGGTCTTTACTTTTCTTGTATAGGCCTATTTGAAAGAGTTGCACTATCATGTTCTAATCCGCGTATAATGTAATTTTATTCTTCCATAGGAGGATGTTTTCATTGTAATAAGACATTTCATATTAAGAAAATCTAATGTTTAATTCTAGGAGATCCTTCTTAATCTAAATAGATCAGCCTTCTATATCACTTGATTGTTGAGTTCATCATACCCAGGACCATAAGAAAAGACTGTAAATCTTGTGAAAACTTGAAAGAAAATCTGGGAGGGCTCTGGAAGTAGACACACACAAGAAAAATTAGTAGCCCCCTTTATTGTGTATACTCTGTATGCTGTATTAAGTGAAAATTTGTAGGATTCTTCAAAGGAGTATTTTGTAATCCTTTTTTTTTTTTCTTTTTTTTGTGGTACTGGTGGGCGAACTCAAGGCTTCATACTTGCTAGTCAAGGCTTTACCACTTGGGGCACACCTCCAGTCCAGTGTTTTTGTAATCTTACATTGTTTATCAGGACTCTTTCCTGTTTATTAAGGCTGCTTTCCAAAGTCTCAGTGGTAATAGTCTTCATTTCTTTTTTTTTACTTTTTTGTAATTTTAATCATATTGCACTAAAATACTTTATGAATTATACTTCCCTATTATTAAAGGGGTCTGGTTGGTTTTGTCAGACTTGATTTTAGAAGTGGTGGTGTTTTTGTTTTTTTTGTCGTTTTTGGTAGTAGCGTTTGAACTCAGGGTTTCAGTTTGCAAGGCAGGTGCTGTGCCTATAGAGCCACACCTGCAGCCTTTTTTGCTCTGTTTATTTTGGAGATAGGGCCTCACTTTTTCCTAGGCTGGCCTGGACTGCAATCCTCCTATTTTAAGTTTACAAGGTTGCTGGGATGATAGACTCATACCACCATGTTCAGCCTTTTCCTATTGAGATAGGGTCTTGTGAACTTTTTGCCTGGGTTTGCCTGGAACTGTGATTCTCCTGATCTCCATCTCTTACATAGCTTGGGATGAAGGGCATGCTCAGCTGTTGAGTGAGATGGGGTCTTGCAAGTGTTTGCCTCAGCTGGCCTCTATTTCAGTCATCCTAATCTTAGCCTCTCAAGTAGTTAGGATTACAGCAAAGTGTTTAATAATAGATGATTTCTAAGAATAACTTAGAATGTTGAAGTTCTAAATGTTGTTTGGTTCTTACATTTACCATATTGCTATCCCTGATTTCCTTTAGCACTCTATTCCTGACAGATTTAGGAATAATAAGTAGTGTAATAGGGACTGTATTTCTACATGAACATCTTTAATATCAGTCTGTCTTCTGTCTGGAAGAAAATGAGAAATAACTTGAAATGAATCTGGCAGCTTTTAAAAGATACCATTTTGAAGTTTATCTATTGTTATGAAAAGTTTTAAGGGCTAGGGATATAGCTCAATGATAGAGTGCTTGCCTAGTGTGTGTAGCATGCAGAAGGCCCCAAATTCAGTCCCTAGCACTGCAAAAAAGCTTTTTTTCTCTTTTGGGGGGCTGGAGATACAGTTTAGTGGTAGGACACTTACTTAGCATGTACATGGCCCTATGTTCAATTCCCGGCTCTTTGCTCAGTCCCCAGTACTGCAAGATAAAAGTTTTTAACTATTTTGGTTATCCCTTTATGTGTGATTTTATTTAGGAGCAACGTGATGCAGACAAGGAGATCATTTTAAATACATATAGTCAAGTACTGCAGAAGATCTGTTCAGAGAAAAGGCTCATTGCTGCACTACTATCCAAGTACAAGGACAGTTGTGAGGTTGGATTATGCTGTTTTCTTCTTGGTCTCATAAGTTGATGCTTTGAATTTTTAAATATTTAATTTTTTCGGGTAGTTTAATACTCTAGTAGTTTAATTTACTGAATAAATTAGCATTGCTAGAAAAACAGTATAGTCATTGTTAGCTGGCATTTAATTGAATTCACTATACGGTGGGAATGGTGAGTTTTGTTGATATATTTTAGTTAAGCTTGACATCTTTGGTTTTTCTTATGTACCTGGAAACATAATCTTTGTCATCATTCTCTTTCTGTTTTTACAAATTTACTGTAGGAAATTTGAAAGTTAAGAAATAAAGAGAAAACTTCACAGCATTTCTTTTTTTGGATATACAGACACATCCACAATACACACAAATAATGTACATTACATTGTCTTGAAGGTATTTTGAAAACATTTTCTTACTGATAGTGTGTTAAGAACATTTTGCCATATGATTGATTCTTCTGTACTACCATTTTGAATGACTAAATGATCATTCCTATGGGTAGCATTATTTAGCCTTTCATATATGTTGGACATTGAGGTTACTTCTAATTTTTTCCTACCATAAACAACACAGTACCTAATCTTTGTAGGTAATTTTGTTTGTAACTTCTTGGATTCCTAAAATTATAATTTTCAAGTTAAAAGGAATAAAAATTATTAAAACTTTGTACATACTGTCAAACCACTTTTGGAAAAGACTATTTCAATTTACATCCTCCATAGAAATTCCAGTTTGCATCCATGTTAGCAATGAGTGTTTTACTATATGTCTCAACTTCTCTGCATATGTAAACAAAATCAAGACTCCATTAATAGTGTAAACATTTCCCAATGAATATTGCCTTGTTGAAAACTACAGGATTTTCTTAATATTTCACTCTGAATTTAGGTAGTCAAATCTTGGTAGAGAAATGATAAATGATAAGTAAGTGACTGTTTAGTAAGTATTGTTGTCTAATATGTTTGAAAATTTGTGACTTTTTCTCTCACCTAGTTTAAAAATCAGATGATTGAATGTTTGAATAAAAGCCCCAGTGTGGAACACTTGCTGTCCATTAAGAAGACTCTGAAAGGTTTAAAAGCTCAACTGAGATGGAAGTTGGTTGAAAAGAATAATTTGGAAGAAGTAAGGAAACAGTTGCCCCCTAGTATTTTTGCTTCAGTTTATTTTTCAGATAGGGTCTTAAGCTTTCTGCCTTGGCTGGCCTCAGAAATCCTTCTACCTCAGGAGGCCTCTTGAGTAGCTGGGAATACAGCTATGAACCACCATGCCCAGCCCTGAACTCTTCTCTTATGGTTGGCTATAATATTTCTTGCAAGTGTTTTAAATTGTTTTCTTATGATGATAGAGATGGAAGAAGTACTTGTTCTAGTTTGGACTGACTTGCTTCCTTACCCTTGAAACTTTTTGAACAAGCTGGTAATTCTCTGCATTTTCTTCAGGATTTGATTTATATACACAGGGATCTATACTATGTCTTAATCCAACTTGATCTCTCATCCGCTTCTGAGTACTTACTTGGGAGTGGAGTGGGAACTATTCTACAATTAATTTCATAGTTTAAGGGTTTTCCAGTTTATTCTGGGCTGTGGGGGAGGTGGCCTTTTTTAGTCTTAATTTTTCGACATTTGGACAAATATTGAAGTATTCTTTTAAGGTGGCTTATTTACTAAAACTCTGGTGGAATTGTATTGGGTATTTCTGATTCCCATAGCATCTTTCCTGTAGAAGAATATTCATATGTTGACTTACCCGTTTTTGGTTGGTTTGTTGTAGTTTTAACCAAATATAATGTAAAAAGAAACTGTAGGGAATTCAATTCCAGTTTCTTGTTCTTAACATTTACTTTATGATTGCAGTTTATCTTTGAGAAAATCTACATCTTTATCTTTGAGAGAATCTACAGCAAATTGAAAAAGTCTGTGTAATTAATTTTATCTTTATCTTTATAATTTCTTTTTGTAGGTTTTGGAAAGTCAGTGTTAGAATGAACTGATGTAAGTTAATTCAACAAGTGCTAGGTAATGAAGGATACATAGAAATTATACAGGATGAGTTACTGTAGAAATTGCATTAATTCCTAGAGGAATATGTGTTTTATTCTACTTTAATAAGCTGTAAAAACTACTTTTTCTTTCTGATAAAGTCTGATGACAATGATGGATCTGAAATTGAGAAAATCAAGCAAGAAATAACACTGTTGCGCAGCAGTGTCTTCCAGGAAATTTATCATGAGAGGGAGGAATATGTAAGTATTTGTTTCTTTGAAATTTTAAAATAGCTTTTACTCTAAAAATTGAATTAAAAATATTCATTTTATGAAATGGACTCTAATCATAAGCTAGATGTATTATATTGGCATAGTCATGTTTTTGTGAATTTAGAAACTAACTTCTTATTAGTTAATAATTATGACCATTGGACCAATGTGAAAATTATGGGAAATTATGAAGATGAAAATGTTGTTGTAACTTTGTTGCTCAGAGGTAACAGTAATGATAGCCATTTTCTTTTGAATGTTTTTTCCTGATTGTTTTTAGAATTGAGATTATAGCACGCACACACTTTTAAATAACAGTTGCTCCTCATATATACATAAGAACATAATTTTAGCATAATATTGAGTGAAAAAATTAATGGAGCACATAATTTATGCGACGTATGTAGCAAAATAAAACTACCTGGTTTTGGGGAGCATCTTTAAGTCTGTCTTCAGTTGCTAATTTCTGTGACCATAAGCGAGTCAGTGCATTTTCTCTTTAAAACAGAAATAATATTTTATGTCTGAAGGATATTATGGGTTAGATGTTAATTAGAAACAGTGCTTTGAAAATAAAAATGCTATGAAATCATAGACATTTTAAGTGTCATGCTTTCGTTTTCAAACTCATCTGACATGTAATACCTTATGAATTTTTGGATTAAATTTGATAAATGTCTAGAAATTTGCCTAATAAACATGTGACGTAGGATTTTGTAAGAATCCTCAGTTTTTCATATTTGTTTCAGAGTGATTTGTGTAGAGCTGCATATTTATTTTTGTCTCAGGGTTTATGATTTTTTCTTTCTAAGTGACTCATTTGAAAAATTTTACTATGTTCTTAATACTTTGAGAAATAATGACAGTTTTATTATTCAAATTGGCGTATTTTTACACTTTTATGTCTTAGTCTGGAAATGAGTGTAGACTTTGACCATAGGCAATATTTCTGCTTCTAGTATACAAGGCATAAAGTTGATATTTATGTTTTTATTTATAAGATAGTAATTTAGATTCAAGGCGACTTGGTTTTTGCTTGATAATTTTGAAGTAGAAGTCAAAATCATTGATTATATGTCTTCTTACATCTGTAAGAAGGCAGATGATGATACATTTTCCTGAAGAGCAACATGTCACAATGGAGTGTATATTAATCTATAATAAAATGCATTTTTAACTTTAGGAGAAGCTGACTAACTTGGCTCAGAAATGGTTCCCTGAGCTTCCGCTGCTTCATCCTGAAATAGGATTACTTAAATACATGGTAAGCCTTCTTTTTCCTTGAGAATTGCTAGCATGCAGAGAATGGAAAAAGTGATGATGTTCAGATTGTGTATCAGTTTAAATTTATAGTTTCTGATGAATATTTTAATTTTTTTTGGAGCATGATTAGAATCTTTCCTGAAGACTGTTTTAAATACTTGCATAGTGTACATTTTAATTTTTATGTTAATTTACATGTTTTCTTCTATTTCTCTCTTCATGTTCATGTAGGACATTGTATGACATTCATTTGAATTATAGTTGCTTATTTTTTGAAATGATAAAACCAAACTTTTAACTCTTGTCCCAAGAGTTAGTATAAAGCAAGGAGATTTCTAACCATGAGGAATGTATCTTTAAAGCAGGCTGGGAAAAATTTTGAGAGAAGCAGGCTAAGGTGGAAACATTGAGATAGGTTTGGTTTTCTAGGCAAGCAGAATTCATAGTCTAGGAGATTAGCATATTAGACAGGGGCAGTATGGAGCAAGCTTGGTAAATGCTGGCTCTGCAGAATTATTACCTCTGCGTTTTGTATTGCTTGGCAGGCTGAGGAACTAGATGAGGAAGAGTTGTCCCTTGGTATCTATGCAGAGTTCATTCTGGGATTCTACCCCACCCCTTGGATATCAAAGTCTGAGATGCTTAAATTCTTTGTGTGAAATGGTTTAGTATTTGCATATAATCTGTGTATTTCCTCCTGTATACTTTTAAATAATCTCTACATTATTCTGAGCAAATGTAAATGTTATGTAAATAGTTGTTATGTAGTATTATTAAGAGAACAATGACAAAAAGTCTATATATGTGCAGTGTATACACAATTCTTTTGAATATTTTCAATTTATGGTTGAATCCATGGGTACAAAATTCTCAAATATGGAGGGCCAACTATATTTACTCTTTTAAGACTGGTCATTCAGTCCATAATAATAGCTTAAATATAGTACAGAAAGGAATGTTCGTGTAAACAAGCTTCAAAAAACTAAAAATAGCTGGGTGTGGTGGCTCTCACCTGTAATCCTAGCTACTCAGGAGGCAGCAATCAGGAGAATCATGGTTCAAAAGCAGCCTTGGCAAATAGTTTAAGAGACCCTGTGTTGAAATACCCAACACAAAAAAATGGCTGGTGGGGTGACTCAAGTTGTAGAGTGCTGCCTAGCAAGAGTGAGGCCCTGAATTTGAACCCAGATACCACCAAAAAAGCAAAAACTAAAAACAGAACTACCATATGTTGATCTTGCTGTATCACTCGTAGGTGTATAACCAAAGGAATGCAAATTAGCATACAGTGGTGATACAGCACACCCATATTTATCGCAGCACTTTTCACAATATGGAATCAGCCTGGTGCCTAAAAACAGATGAATGGATAAAGAAAACATGGTGCATATATAGGATAGAGGAATATTCAGTCATTAAAGAAGAAGGAAATTATGTCATTTGTAGGAAAAAGTATACAACTAGAGATCATCACATTAAGTGAAATTATCCAGACTCAGAAAGACAAATGCTGTGTCTTCTCTCATATATGGAGTTTGGATCTTACAAAAAAGGATATGAACATAAATGGAGGACTATTTTGGGGGTGGAGACCAGTGGGAGGTGGGACAGGGAAAAGGAGGGGAGAAAATATGATCAAATTACATATGAAAAGGTCATAATGTAACCCGTATAAAATTTTGTAAGAATGTTAAAAAGAAAAAAAAAGGCAGGGGAATTTGAAGAGTCATAGAAGGGATGAATATGATCAACATATATTATGTGCGTGTTTGCAAACATTACAGTGAGTCCACCTCACTTTGTACAGTTAATACACACTCATAAAATATGCTATATGCTTTATTGTAGAAGATTATAGAAAGCTTGAATCATGCCTGAAGCAGAGGCATAGTGTTAGAATTACTTCATAGTAGTCATAATAGCCTTTTCATTACCATTCTATAGCTACCTTTTAATTTGTCATTTTAATATTTTTAGAAAACACATGAAGTTTTTCAGTCATGTGTTGGGATTCCTTGGAAGCATGTTTGATTATATCTCAGGCATCTCTAGAATCTGTTCTAGAACTATAACAATAATTAAATATATGATAATTTCAGTGTCGGTATGAGGAGTTCAAGAGTCAAAAGCTAGAAAAAAAAATACAAAACATTTTTATTTTATTAGTTTTTAAAAGGCTGAGGTTATCCAACCCATTTAATAGCATGTAGCTAACTATGCTGATATATACGTGGTTTTTTTTTGATTCTTCAACTGTAATAAAAACTTGTGCCTAGAATTCTGGTGGTCTTCTTACTACAAGCCTAGAACGAGATCTTCTTGATGCTGAACCCATGAAGGTACTTAGCAGCAAGCGTCCTTTGGTATGCTCTGAAGTTAATGGGCAGACAGTTCTCTTAAAGGTAATTTTAATTTTAAAAAGGTTTTTATTAGTATATGATAATTACACAGGGAATTTCGTTGTAACATTTCCATATATACATCTGTTACACCCCAGTTTGGTTCATCCCCCTCCATTAATCTCCCTCTTCTACTCTCTCTCATGAAATGACTTACACATGTTTCGGTGTTCCATATTCATGCATGTATAGAAAGCACTTCAACTAGTAATTTTATGTTCTGAGTGTGGGAGATTCAGAAGTATAAAGGGAAGTGATGATGCTATTTTTCAGGAAAGGAAAAAAAAACAATTGTTTTCTAAAGTGTATGAGTTGATTGGCATGATGACTGTGCTAGAACTAATTTTGACTTTAAAGTTTTTCTCATTAACTTAAATGGTATCTGTCTTTAATTGCTTTTTTGGGTGAACATATTATGTTCTATCCAATAACCTCTTACTATTCTTGCACTTCTTATAACTTGCTTTGAAATTTCAGCTATGTTACCAACATGATCATCTGCTTCTTAATTTTTTTTCCTGACTTGAAAAGATACTAATTATCATAATAGGGTGTTTAGATTTGCCTTAGTTACTGGATATTCTAGGATGTATAGTAAGTTGCAGGTAGAATTATTCTTTTCTGTCCAAATTACAGCATCCAAAGCAGATAGAAAATATACTTACAAAATTAGATACAACTTACATAAAAATCATCCCTTGTGTTTCAATTGGAATAATGTATAATTAGAGTGGAAATTTTAATCTTGGAATTACCAGACTTCTTTTTTTTTTTTTTTTTTTGATAAAAGGGCTATTCTGTGGATGTTGACACAGAAGTGAGGGTGATTCAGAGAGCAGCCGGCTACCACAGAGCTTGGAGAGAAACTAAAGAAGAGTCTGGGTTGCTGCCATTGATATTCCTGTTTTTGTGTAAGGTAAAGTTCTTATGTTAATCTCTTTCAGAGATTTTATTTATGAAAATAAGCTTTGATTCCAAGTTTTAGACCAGTAATTTGTTTCCTTTTAATATGAAACAAAAGTTATAGAATCAGTGTATACTACCAATATGTTGAAGAATTTTTCACTTTGAGTCATGTTTTGTTTTGCTTTTTAGTCTGATCCTATGGCTTATCTGATGGTCCCATACTATCCTGAAGCAAACCTTAGTGCAGTTCAGGCCACTAGGCCTTTATCTTCAGAAGTAAGTAAAAACATTTTTATGGATGTTTTGAATGAGAAAATAACACTTAATATTTATTTAGGTCATACTATATATTATACTGTGTAAAATCTTGACTTGTGTTATTCAGCTCTGTGATATGAGCTGTCCTGTTATGCAGACGAGAAAAACGAAGTTTAGCGGGATTGAGTCACTTGCAGAGTCCCTCACCCAGAGGTAGAGTTGGTATTGAAATCAGATCCTTCTGGATCCAAAGCCCAAGCTGATAACTACTAAGCTGTGTGGTATGTAAATTGCCTAGTTTAGCACTTGGTATTAAAGTGCTTATGTGATAGCTTTAATTTTCATCATTGTAAATTTAGAATTAGTAATAACAACAAAGGAGGCTGTGCTTCTTCCAACCTAGTAATGCCATTTCAGTCTCCTCTAATCTAAGTCTTCTTAGGGACTTCAGTGTGTGCTGTGTGTGAGACTGCATAGAACATTTGTGAAGGTCACCATTTACACAATCAAGGCTTTACCTACCCTTTAGTTCCTTCTGTGTGCCACATTCTCAGTAAAGGTTCATTTGAAAGAAGCTTTACTCAGTTCTTGAACAGACTTTTAAATGGGAAAAGATTCATGTATTAAAATAATCTGCCTTTTTCCTAACCTCTTTTGTGTGTACTTATCTATAGGAAGCTTTAAAAATCATGAAAGGTGTTGCCCAGGGCCTGCATACATTGCACAAGGCTGACATAATTCATGGATCACTTCATCAGAACAACGTTTTTGCTTTAAATCGTGAACAAGGAATTGTTGGAGATTTTGACTTCACGAAATCTGTGGTAAAACATCATGTTTTAACAAATAGTTACAGACTTCACTTAATATTATTAGACAGTAGTTCAGCACTTACACAATAGGGTGATTTATTGTAGGAACTCTGCTTTTTGTTAAGATGTGTCATGTAGTATAAACAATTACCTGCTGTCAGTTAGATGGTGGAACAAGAGTTTCTAAGTTTTGCTTTATATATTTTAAACATAAATTTTAGGAGAAACCTGTCATTATATTCAGCAACATTGATAACATTCATCATTAGCTTTATCATCTTAAGGAAACATACAGTTGCTGGGAAATACCTGAAATCTCTCTCTGCTGGTGTTCCCTGATTAAATTTAAATATTCTTTTTTGACTAATATGCATGATTAAATTTAAATTGATTAAATTTAAATATTCTTTTTTGACTAATATGCATGTTTAAAACCTGGGAAGCTTGGATGTTTTCATTTAATTTTGGTCTCAGTTCAACTACAACTACAATGGCTGTTAATTTGGTGCCATATTACCTCAGAATAGGCAGTTTTTAGAGATAGCAAAGATCAAAACTAAGAACTTGTGATTTTTTTTTTCTGGTAGAATAGGCAGTTCTCAAAATATACATGATTATGAGAGAGCAGTTTCCACTTTACGTGCTTTAATTGACAAATAAAATTACTATATTTATATTTATTTTGTACAACATGATGTTTTGAAATATGTACTGTTACAATGTGAGATGGCTAAGTCAGCAATTCCTATTTCAAAAATGCTTTATTTAGATATAATTCATATATCATAAAGTATACAGTTTAGTAGTAGTGTAGCAGGATGGCTCACAGATTAGGCACCAAAGCTTTTGGGAAGCAAGTTTATTAGCCAAGTTGGCAGCAATTCAGCGGACTCATGTCCAAAGGCTGAGCCCGGAGAACAAAGTGGGCCTTCCTTACATACCATTTAGAGCAGGTTACAGAAATGGGGGGGGTACAGCTTGTCCCACACCTGGTCACATATTATTTCACTGGCAATTTTAACCTCTGGGGCGAGGTGACCCTTCCCTGGTCTCACCCCAGGTGCTATGTGACATTCCTCAAATCCGTTTTTTTGTTTTGTTTCACTGTTGCCCTCATTGTCTCTCATTATCTCCCTTCCCCCTCCCTCCCTTCCTGACACAGTAGTTTTTAGTTTGCTCATAGAGTTGTGTACTGATCATCTCTATCTAATTCCAGAACATTTTGTATTACCAACCCCCACCCCCCCCAAAAAAAAAAAAAACCCATACTGATTAGCTGTCACTCTCTGTTTCTCCCTTTACTCAGATTCTGGAAACCACTAATACACTTTCTGTCTCTATGGATTTACTTATTCTGGATATCTCAAATAAATGAAATCATACAATGTGTGGCCTTTTGTGACTGGCTTATGCTTCATTTTCAAAGTTCATTCATTTCTTTTATGACCAAATAAAAAATTTCATTGAATGTATATATCGCATTTTGTTTATATTTTCATCTGTTGATGGACATTTGGTTTACACTTTTTTGTTATAAATAATGTTGATATGAGCATTGATGTACAAGTTTTTGTGTACACATTTGCATTTCTTGCTAGCAGTACTAGGGTTTGAACTCAGGGCCTCAAGCTTGGTAGGAAGGTACTCTACTACATTCCAAGCCCTTTTTTGCTTCTAGTTATTTTTTTGAATAGGGTCTCGTATTTTTGCATGAGTCTGGCTTTGGACAGAGATCTCCTGCCTATGCCTCCTGTGTATCTGGGACCATAGGCATGTGCCATCATACCTGGCTTGTTCGTTGAGATGGGGTCTCACTAATTTTTTGCCTGGGCTGGCCTCCAACCATGAGCCTTCCAGTCTCTCTCCTAAGTAGCTGGGATCACAAATGTGTGCCATTGCGTATGATACGGCTTCATTTGTTTTGGAAGGAAAACGACTGAGTCATGTGGTAACTCCTTCCCTTTTTTGCTCCCCGTGTTGGGAGTTGAACTCAGTGCCCCATGCTTGCTAGGCAAGTGCTCTACCACTTCAGTCATGTTCCCCAGTCCTTTCGCTTTTAGTTGGCTTTTTCAGATAGAGTCTCACACTTCTGCCGTGATTGGCCTCAGTCCATGATCCTCCTACCAAATAGTTGGAATTAAAGGTGTACTCTACAACTCTTGGCCCTTTTTTCCCGTTTTTGAGAAACTAAACTGCTTTCCAAAATTACTGCATAATTTTATGTTCTCATAGCGATGTATAAGGATTTCAGTTTCTCCAAATCCTTGCTAAATACTGTTATTTCATACTTTGGTCATCTGCAAGTCCGAGCATAATGCCACTAGTGTGTATGTGTATTAAAAGCTTTAACATGGTCATTCAAAAATATGAAAACACGAAAATATAAAATTGTCATCAAAAGTTGAATTGTGCAGGATTTATAATTTATACAGATTAATTTGCTGTAATATTTATTTCATCATATTAGTTTATCTGAGAATTAAGATAACACAGTAAGAAAGATAACTAAATTATGAGGTTCAAAAGGTTTTCAACTACTTGTAGGAATCCTGGTCATTGTACCTACTGAACTTACCACTTGTACACTGTTAGATGTGATACTCCAAGAATTATTCTTCCTCTTTTATACTTATTTGTCACCTGTTATTATTCCCCCAACCATTGTTTTAATCTTCTGTTAAAATTGTTCACCATGAAATATTGGTCATACTCACCTTTTGCTATATACATTCAGACTGAAGTTTATTAATATGGAAGAGAAATCTGAGCATTAGTCTGTAGTCTAGGTCATTGATTTTCAGACTTTATAGTACCTTTGAATTACCTAGAAATCTTGTTTAAATGCAGATTATTATTCACCATTTTTGAGATGGAGATTCTGCATTTGTGACACGTTCCCAGTTGATGCTGCTGGGCTATGGACCATACTTTGAGAAGCAGGGATAAAGATAGTAGGTAGAGAAGCTGTAATTAATACTTAGTGAGATGTGCTAAGCATCATGCCAGTTACCTTTATCTTTATAATAACTGTATAAGGTAGATATTACATCCATTTTATAAATTAATTAATTTAGGCTCAAAGAGGTTAAAATCTAAGGTCAACAAGTTAGTGTGAGAACAAGGTCTGACTGAACTTAGGTCTCGTGCTGTTGTCACTGACCATTCTTTGACCTGTTAGAAATGGTATATTTCAAAATAGTCACAAGGAAAGAGAGTACTTACAGAATTTCAGTTTCTTCAAAAGGTTAGTTAGGATTTTCAGAATTAAAAAATAGCACTGCTATTTACTCTTATAAATTTGTTAAAGCAAAAGAACCAGTAGTCAAAGAATCAGTGGTTGTTAATTTTGAATCTGTCTAATTTTACGATCTGAGTGCAATAAAAGTCTCACTGTTATTTTATGAGACTGATTTTAGGAGCAATGTGTAAGAGCAGAAATAAGATCAAAATATTTGAGAGCACGAGAATGAAATATTTCAAATGAATTTTTTAAATTAATTAAATGTAGAGTATGTCATACAAGACTACCTCAACTGTAATATTTCTAAAATAATATTTTTATAGGGTCAGCGAGCTTCAGTGAACATGATGGTTGGTGGCTTGAGTTTGATATCACCTGAATTGAAAATGGGAAAACCTCCTTCTCCAAGTTCAGACTTGTATGCTTATGGCTGCCTTTTATTGTGGGTATGTTATTTTTAATAGTAATTATTTACATATATCCAATATGTAAAGTGATGATTATAATGATTGTCCTTAACATATTATTCTGGATAAAGAGTAATGGTTGATTTTTTTAGTAGAATTTTTAAAAAGTTTTATCATAAACTGTTGATATTCTTCCTATTACCTATATAAACTTTTTACAGTTTGGCTTGATATATACTATAGGTATTACATTCATTGTCTTCATTTTGTTAAAGTCAAGATTAGTAGTGAAGATAATTTTTCCCTATGTTAATCTAGAAGAAGTTCATGCACATGTGGAAATAGTGAGTCTTAAGTAATTGTTCCTTTTCCCAGAGTAAATAAAGTAGCTGTTCCTTACCTATAGTTTAAGAATTATGAGGGATTAATATTAACGAGGGAGGATATCTATTCTTCTAATCAACATTGTCCTGAGGTTCCAGCTCAGGATCAGCAAACATTTTCTGTAAAGGGTCTGTGTTGGGCCATATGGTCTCTGTTGCAAGTACTGAATTCTACTGTCATAGCACAAAAGCAGCCATACTACATAAATAAATGACTGATTCTTTTCCAATAATAATTCCAATACTATATTCATGGAGACTTACTGGAATTTGAATTTCATGTAATTTTCTTATGTCATAAAATAGTATTCCTTTGATTTTTCTTTTCTTTCTTTCTTTCTTTTTTTTTTTTTGGTGGTACTGGGTTTGAACTTGAGCACGCCCCCCAGGCTCTTTTTGCTTCAGTTATTTTTTGAATAGGGTCTCACTTTTATGCCCAGGATGGCCCGGACTGCCATCCTTCTATTTATGCTTCCTGCTGAGCTGGGATAACAGGTATGTGCCACTACACCCAGCTTTTTATTAGTTGAGAGGGTGGCCTCAAACTACAATCCTCCCGATCTCTACTTCCTGAGTAGTTGGATTATAAGAGTGAGCACACCTGGCTAGTTTTTCCCACCCAATTGACAGTTAGAATTCTGTAAGTTACATAAAAATGCAGAGATTCTGGGAATTTTGAAAAAGAAAAATTTTGAAAAAGAAAACATTGAAGGATTTGTACTGATTTACCTTTACCTGATTTAAAGACTTAATAAAATTATAGTAAAGCTAGACAGTATGATGCTGGTGTGAGGTTAGATGTATAGATGAATGGAACGGAATAGAGATGGTAGAAATAGACCTATCCATATATGGCCATCTTGTTTTTTTGGGGGGGCAGTATTGGGGTTTGAACTCAGGGCTTTGTGCTTGCTAAGCAAGTGCTGTATCGCTTGAACCACACCTATCGCCCTTTAGCTTGGTTATTCTGGAGACAGGGTCTGAGTTTTTGCACAGGCTGGCTTGTGTCATGATGTATTTTACATTTGTTGCCATCACTGGGATGACAAATGTGTGCTACCATGCTCAGTTTTTTTTTTTCCTTACAAACTTTATTACCCACATTGTCCTGGTACCATGATCTTTCTGATCTCCACTTCATAGCTTGGGATGACAGGTATGCATCACTCTGCCCAGCTATTGGTTGAGATGGGGGTCTTACAAAGTTTTTGCCTGAGCTGTCCTAGAACCATGATCCTCCCAATCTCAGTCTACCATGTATCTAGGATTATATGCTAGACTTGGTCTACTGATTTTTGACAGAAGTACCAAAGCAATTATTTGAGTGAAAGGAGTCTTCAACAAAAGTGCTACTGTAACAACTGGACATCCACGTACAAAAAAACCCTTTGATTTATTCCTCACACCATGTACAGGAATTAACTCAGTGTGTATTAGACCTAAATGTGAAACTTGAACCTTCTAAAGTTTCAAGAAGAAAATAAAGGAGAAAAATCTTATTGACTTGAATTTGGAAAAGTTTCTTAAATAGGACCAAACAGCATCAACGAAAAAAGGGAAAAAAATCAAGTTGGACTTCATTAAAATTTATGTTTATTCTTAAAAAGACATAGTTACAAAAATGAAAGGCAAGCCACAGACTGGGAAAATACTTGAAAAACATATACGTGACAAAACAAACCCCTTGTATCCAGATTATTAAGAACTCTCATGACTCAATACTAAGAAGACAACCCAATAAAAAATGGCTAAAATGTTTAAACTGGCATTTTAACAAAGATGACAAGATAAGCATGTGAAAAGATTGTCTTAACATTGTTACCAGGGATACTGGTACATTGGTACAGGGAACTGTAAATTAAAATAAAAACAAGATACCATTATACACCTACTATAATGTCTAAAATTACAAAGACTGACCATACTAAGTGTTGGCTAAGATGTGTTGCAACTAGAACTCATATATATTGTGGAGGGGAATATAAATTTAACAACCACTTTGGAAAAAAGTTTGACAGTTTGTTAAAAGGTTAAACGTATGCTTATCCTTTGACCTAGCCATTCCTCTCCTAGGTATTTGGATAGGAAAAATGAAAGCATATGTTCACAGAAAGATGTGGTCAGAAATAGTCAAAGATATTTTAGGTATAATGTGTCAAAACTGGAAACAACTCGAAAGTCCATCAACAGATGAATAAACAGCCTACTGTATGTCAATTGTAATACTATCCAGCAATGTACAAAGTTGAACTGTTAACATGCCCAATAATATGGCTGAGTCTTAAAATAATGCTGCCAAGCAAAAAAAAGCCAGAGGAAAGAAAAAATGCATACTTACTGGTTCTATTTGTATAAAATTCTAGAAAGTGCCAACTTACCTATAGTGACAGAAAGGAGATCCTTGATGACCTGGGGTTTGAGGGTAGAAATGGAGGGAGGGATAGCTTACACAGAGTTAGATGAAAACTTTTTGTTAGGATCACCATGTTCATTGGCTTGATGGGGCTGATGCTTTTGCAGGTGTATACCATTGTCAAATTTATCAGGTTATAAACTATGAGTATTTATAATTTATTGTGTATCTGTTATGCCTCAATAAAACTGATACAAAAAAGTATTTATGCCCACTCAGGTGAAATCAGTCAGTCCTCCCTCTCTGCCACAAAACATTATTAGTCACAGATTTTTAACCCCATTCTGATGTATTTAAAGTGATCTTATTTCTTAGAACTGAAATAAGAATAATAAATTTCATTGAAATGATTAAACTGGTATCATTTTCATCTTTGCTTCAACCATCCATTTATTTTTTATGTCAGGACAAAAGTAAATGTCCCAAATATTTCTTACATTTCTACAAGCTTTCATAAGATACATAAATGTTTTAATAGCAGTCTTTGTTCCACCTGTTTCCTTTCAAATGATAGTAAAGAGCTCTATGAGTAAATATTGTGCTGAATTTCTTTCCTTCTGTAATACTGAGTAAGGTCTTTTTAAAATTTTATTTTTAAATTAACATGAAGTGCACTTGAATATTTTTGGCTTAAATTCTATGAATTTAAGCATATGTATAGATTAGTGTAGTAGCCACTACAAGATACAGAAGAGTTCCATAACTCCCCAAATTTCTTTGTGCTGTACTTTTGTAATCATATCCTCCCCTGACCTTTTAACCTCAATAACCAGTGATCTTTTTTGATCACTGTATTTCTGTTTAAAGAATGTCACATAAATGAACCATGCAAAATGTGACTTTTGAGGCTGTCTTTGTTTAGCATAATGCCCTTGAGACTCATCCTAATTGTCTAATGGTAGTTTTCCCTTTTATTTTGCTTAAGTAGACTTCTACTGGTAGGCATATCAAGTTTATTTGCTCATATCTTGCAGGACATTTGGGTTGCTTTGGTTATTACAAATAAAGCTGCTGTAGTTTATGTATAGGTTTTTTTTTAAATGGATGTAAGTCTATTTCTCTAGGATAAATGCCTAGGAATGAGATTGCTATATTAGACTGTAATTGTATGAAAAACTATAAGGAACTGCCAGACCGTTTTTCAGAGCAGTTGTACCATTTTTCATTTCTAGTAGCAAGTGTGAGAGTTTCTGTTGTCTGTGTTAGGGTCACTGCCTAGTAATATGCTTCTGTTGTAGCCATTTTCATAGCTGTGTAGCAGTCTCATTGTGGGTATATTTTTCATATTTTTAGTGGATAATTATGTTGAGCAGCTTTTAATTTGCTTATTTTTGCCTTTGATATATCTTCATCATCTTCCTTTTTTTTTAATAGATATATAATATTTTTTTTAACAAATGATGTTGGTAACACTTGGCATCAACATGCAAAAACATAAACATTGACCAATAAATCTCTCTCTCTAACGTAAAAATTACATAAAAAATAGATCCTAATCTAAGTATAAAGCATGTAATTATAAAGCTTTTAGAAGAAGATACAGCAGAGGAGTCTTCATGACCTGGCTTACATATAAGAGTTTCTTAGGGACTAAGGACAAGTGGCTAGCAAGTGTGAAGCCAAGTTTAAACCCTAATACAACAAACAACAACAACAAAAAAGACTTCCTATGATACATAAAGGAAAACACTGAATTTTAATAAAATGGAATGGATGAAGGCTTGGAATATTGGGGATGTATCCAAGAACCTGAAGGGGCAAGATACACTGTTGGGAACGTTTATCAATGCAGTGGTGTTTCTGGGGCGGGGACTGTGAGAAAGATGTCTTAAGGTCCTTTTTGGGTGAGCACCACTGAAGGAGCTTCTGCCCACTCTAGGAGAGCTCTGGGGTACAGACTGCAGTGAACACTGTTGGCAGCAGTGGTTGGGGGGAATGCACTGTCAGCTCTCCTGCAGTAGTGCAGAATGAGAGTGTGTAGAAAGCAGCAGTGGGTGAGTGATGTGTATTGTGCAGGCTTGGTCTTAGGCCCACTGATGATGGACAGCAGCAGTAGGCAGCAGAAGGGTGTAGGGAGAGGTACTTGCCCTGGCACTCTTTATTGTGCTGAATTACTTGTTCACTGTAGTTCAAGATACTATGCTGGGGTGTGGCTGTAGCCTTTGTGCAAATATGGTGGAATGTTTGTGGAGCTCTAGTGATTGGGATACGCAGCTGTATGGCAATAATGGATTTCCTTAGTG